TACCCAGTGTTTTTCTCTTTTTCTTTCCTTCCTTCTTTTTTTTATTTATTTATTTTTTTTTTTTATGTTTGCTGTTGGATTTATGTGCTCAAGCACTTGTATGCGTGAGAGAGAAAGCTAAAAATTGCTCCCCGGGAGCATGGCCACACTGCAGTCTCTCCTCTATTGTCCTGTCAGGATTTTGTACGCGTGTTTGACATGATTTTGAAGCCGCAGGGTCTAGTACCGTACAGTTGGCCATGTGGGATCCAACTGTCTTAGCTTCCATGTCACCTGCTAGCCCCTAGTGTGTTTTTCATGTCACTGGGGCCAGAACTTTAACTGCACTATAGGCCATTTGGGATCTAGCTCCCATAACCACTAGGCCATAGGCCAGGCTTTTTTTTTTTAATAATTTATAAAATATCTATTATATTTTAGCAGAGGAGCTTTTTCTTTTTTTTGTAATTTGCCAGCAGGTGCTCTTGCTTTCCAGAGAAAGAGAGAGGAAAAGTGAGAAAACACTCCTCATGAGAATGGTCAGGCCACAATCCCTTCTGTTTCTCCTTTCAAGATTTTGGGCATGCATGCACATGTGCTGGTGTGTTTTTCAAGCTGTAGGATTCAGGATTCAAACTGCGATTGGCCAAGTGTGTTACAGCTGCCTTAACCACCACACTACTAGCTAGCCTACCTTTTCAAAATATTTAGTCAGCCATACTCTTTGGAGACTATGAGATTTAATGAGATTAAATATACAAAGTATCTGTATAGATACTCCACATAACTATTAATTTTCATTTTTCTTACTTAATGTTGCCAACCAGTTTGTATGATTGCTTTACATCACACCGTTCATTTTTGGTTATTTGTTGTGGACACATTCTTTAATCTTTTTTCTAATTTAAATTTAATGTACAGCTATATTCTCTACAAACTTTAAACTTACATATATATTTTGTTAATAGTTCAGGAAAAGAACTATCGATCATTTTAATTTTCTGTTATTCTGGAAATAAAGTTATTGAAAATTAAATTTTTTGTTTTTGTTTTTTCAATTTGCTATAGGGCATGTGCACTTGCCAGAAAGAGGGAAAGCCAGAAAGCACTCTCCTGGGGAGATGGCCACACCACAGTTCCTTCTCCAGTTTCCTGTTGGGATTTTGACACTCACATGCGCACCTGGCCTGTTTTTCAAGCCTCTGGTGTGAATTTTTCTTGTGTATAGGGTGAAGGTATAGAATCTTTTGAGGATTGAATATTGGTAGAATTTATATCTCAGTACAGGTTCTAGAGGGGCCAACAGATGGTGTAGTGGTTATGTTACTGGACTCCCACATGGCCAATCACAGTTCAAGTTCTGGACTTCGTGGCTTAAAAGTCATGTCGGGTCTGTGTGTGTGCATGTGCAAGATCCCAGGAGGAGAATGGCATGGCCATCTCCCCTGGGGCATGGGGAGGAGGAACGGTGATTTCTCACTTTCTCTGTGTCTCCTTGCTAAACTCACACACCCTATAGCAAAAATCTCTCTGTCTCAAAAGAAAAAAAAAAGTTCAGGGTTATTAGCTATATGAATTGCTATTTTTCTCATTGTACTGTTAGAAGCATAGAGGTATAATTCTTTCCTCCCAAATCTTCAAAACATATACCTTTGTAATAGTATTTGCAGTTTCCTCATTTACACTTAGTCTTGTCTTTTCTATTTTTAAAAGAGATATGTAGTCTTCAACAAGTTCATGGAAAAGGTGTATTATGAAAAAACTGGACATCAAATCTTTTTTGCATGAGCATAAACTCATACTTTAATTCCAGTTTTTCCACAAATTCGTTGAAGCCCCCTGTGTTACTAAGAAGGTAGAAAGGTAAATACTTGCCTGGAGGGAGCAAGGAAGAGACAGTCTTAGGGATTAAGGAGAGACAATAATTGCTTAGTGAGAGGAAAGGGGCAGAGGCATTTGAGAGAATAGGAACAAGTTAGTTCCTACTTGAAGTGTTTTGGGATAAGATAGGATGTAAATATATATATCATAAATTAATAACCTGTCCCAAAAGTGGTAAATTTGATTTTGTTCTCATAACACAGATAAATTAGAAAGCAAAGTGTTATGCATAATTTATAATAATAGCTTTCCTACAGCTTTAATTTATGGTTGCAGATTGTAAAGATACTTGAAAGTTATTCATACTAATGTTACTTCTTCATGGTTAAGTGTAAAATTTTATTGTAACAAAATTGCTCTGGCTTATTTTTCCTCCTGTTCAATTTTCATTTACATGTTTTTCGACTTATGAAGAGCAAGAAGTAATATACGTTACTGTTTTAACTTTTAAAGCAAAACAAAACAACGAAACCCAAATTAACCTGTACCTCAAAATGTGAAATAGATGAAGTAAATGTTTCAGATCAGTGTGAAAAGTATGCCATTCATTCTTCTCTCCCAAGTGGATGTAAAAGGGGGAAAAAGAAGCAGCTGCATGCAAAGGTTCAGGACCCTTTGTTACTTTGAATTCTCCTTAGGGTTTTGATTTAAAATGTTATACATTTCTACCATGTTACACACCATATTTAATTATTAAATGTTTTCAGAATATTTTTGAAAAGCTTTTTGGTTCACTTATGCTATTATTTAGTATCATTTAATTTGAATAGATGCTCACATATTGATTATTATTAATTCTGTAAACATATTACTAGTCAGCTGCAGAACCTGGATTTTACATGAGGACTTTATCAAGGAATATGATCCCAAAGTACTTTTATGCAACTTTGCATATGTTACTTGTGACCTTGCAAAGATTATTTAGTCCTCATTCTTGTGGGTGGATAGGGCATTTGGTGATAGTTGGGCAAGATATAAATAGTTCTTACTCTGAGTGCATTTGTATTCAGTTTTTTTTTAGGGGGTTGAGGAGGAGGGGGAAAGGTTTTTGCCATAGGATATGTGTGTTCCTGGGAGAGACAGAAACAGAGAGAGAAAGTGAAAAACCAATGCCCCTGGGGGTATGGCAGTCCCTTTTCTTCTATTCTCCTGGGATTTTGGGCATGCACACACATGTACCTGGTGTGATTTTAAAGTTGCCAAGTTCAGGACCCAAACCGTAATTGGTCATGTGGTATTCCATTGCCTTAACCACCATGCCACTTGCTGGCCCCTCTATTCGGTTTTTCATATACATGGTAAAACATCATCAAGATGCAGTCCTCTGGGCCAGCAGGCAGTGTAGAAGTTAAGGTGCTGGCTCCCACATGGGTGACTGTGCTGTTCATGTTCAGGACCCGACAGCTTGAAAATCACTCTGGTACTCATGGGTGTACTCCCAAAATTCTAAGACTGTGGGAGGAGGAGACTGGAGGAGAAAGGATGGAGGCATGGCCATCCCCACCCCCCACCCCCCAGGGTGATTTCTTATTTTTCCTCTCCGTTTCTCTCTGGTGACTACAAACAAAAAGATAAAGTCCTCTCAAGGCCATCAGTACAGAAAATATTTCGGGATTATAAAGGTCCTTAATGTAATGGAATGTAATCATAGTAGGTAAGAGGCCAATCAGATGAACTGCAGTTTGAATCTCAGCCCCTGTGGTGGCTTGAAAAACCCATCAGGCGCTTGTGGATCTGTGCCTCAAATCCTAACAGGATGGAGAAATGGAGAAGGATAGCAGCGTGACCATACCCCATGGAGGAGGCACTTTGGCCGTCTGCCCCTATCAGAGGAACACGCATGCCCTCTGACATAAAAAATAAAATAAAATAAATAAAAAGTCAAAATCCAGTAATTGCCTGTCTGGCTGCTTCTTGAGTGCCTTCTTTATTTCCCTGTGGTTCCCTCTTGAATGCTTGCTTACTACTTTCTTGGGTGGTTGAAAGTCTTCCTCTTTTTTTTTCTTTTTCTTTTTCTTTTATTAATGATGGAGCCCATTTGTGGACATGTGAGGGAGAGAGAGAATGAGAGAAAAGCACCTTCTACAGGATCTGCCATGAGCCACTTCTTTTCTCCAGCCCATCAGATCTTGGGCACTCAAGCACTTGGCCTTCTATGTTTCTGGGCTGGGGATTTGAACTGCACTACCATGTGGGATCCAGCTTCTCTTCAGTAACACATTACTGCTGGGCCGTGAAACTGGTCCTTTGAATGCTCTTAATCCATCTTTTAATTGATAGACTGATGGCACTTTATTCACATTGATTGATTAATTCAAGTTTCCTGACATTAGTTTTCATACAGTTTTGTAGATTAGCTTCAGACTTATTTATTATTTTTATTTGTATTGTTTTGCTATAGGATGCATGCCTTTGCCAGAGACACAAAGAGAGAGTAGGAAAGTGAGAAAGCACCGGGGGTAGGGGCATGGCCACTTTGTAGTCCATTCTCCATTTTTTTTCTCTCAAAATTTTGGGCATGCATATGTATGCACCTAGTGTTTCTTTCAAGCCCCCGAATCTGGGATGCTATCTCTTCGCAGATAGAATATTTTCTTTTCATCAGAAGCACATACTTTTTTTTCTGGAAGCTCATGTGTTGAAGGTACTATGTATTCCTAGGTGGTTCATTGAATTTATCTTTAAATATTATTTGGTGTGAGTCTAACCAACTTTGACATCTTGTGAAGAGTAATAGTTTAAAATAATTTTTCAGTACTTATAGTTTTTGGAATAAAAATACTGTTCTTAATTAATTTTAGGTTTTGCCGTTGGGTACGTGTACTTGCTCGAGAGAGACAGAGAGAGAAAGTGACAAATCACCGTGTATGGGGATGGCCATGCCAGAAACCCTTTTCTGCAGTCTCCTCTTGGGAGACACACATGCGCATATGTATGGCATGATTTTCAAGCTTCTTGGTTCAGGTCACAAACCATGGTCTCCCTGTGTGAGTCTAGTGCCTTAACTACCATGCCACCTGTTTGCTCCCATATTGTTCTAAAATTAAATGTGCCTGTTAAAAGTATTTTTAGTAATTGTATGTGTCATTAAAAAAATACTGTATGTAATAGTGAATTTTATAAAATATTTTATTTTTTAGGCGAGGTTTAAATCCACCACACAGGGTGAAATCTATCTCCATGACAACATTCACACAACAGGAAATTGAATTTCTTCAAAAACATGGAAATGAAGTAAGTGTTTTTACAATTTTCAGCTTTTTTGATGGCATTCATTTTAGTAAGCTTAGTAAGTTTTTATAAGAGTGAATTTCACTGTCTAAAGTTATTTTTGTGTTCATATATAGAAAGTTTAGAATGTACTCAATAATGTATTTGGAGTTTGTCTACTGCATAGATACCTTAAACCAGAGTGAAATGTATGCATTTAAAATTTATCAGTATTGAATATAAAAGGCATTTTTAGAGGACATCTAGTGTGAAGTTATTGTTAGTCTTTGCTTTTAAAAGACAAAAGAAAAGGAAAAAGAATTAGCTTTGCAATACCGTATTAAACTTGCTAGGCATTCTGTGATCAGCTTTCACTTGAGTCCTCTCCTATCTTTTTCCTAAATTCATAACCGTAGATATATGATGTTTAATGTTTAGCATATGCTCTGTAGGGACTTGGTTAGTATCTTTGAGGTGTAGCCTTAATGTCATGGGGAAACGGATGAAGATGTATAGGGGAGTTTTTTCCTTCTCGTCTTTAAAGGGCTTCCAGTAATTCATTTCTGTTTGCTTGTTTGTTTTTAGTTCTGTGTTTTACTATTTGTAAAAATAATAATATTTCTTAAGTTGATAAAATTAACAAAGTGAGCTTTTTAAAAATTATCTTAGGGGTAAAGATGAACCAGTCAACTCATTTGATTAGTAATTGCATTGATACTTCACAGGAACGTCTTTTCATTTTCTAGAAAGGAAGCGATACATCAGTTGTATACTTCTGGTTGCATACCTTTTCCATCTTTTCTTTTAAGAGAGATTTTTGCTGCAGAGCGTGTGGACTCACTGGAGACAAAAGACAGAGAGAAAGTGAGAAATCACCACCCAAGGGAGATAGCCATGTCACAGTTCCTTCTCTTTCATTCTTCTCTTGGGAATTTGGGCATACATACACATGTACCTAGTGTCAGTTTCAAGCCAGTGGGTCTGGGACTTGAACTGTGGTCAGTAATGTGGGAGTCCGGTGCCTTAACCACTATGCAACCTGCAGACTCTCTTTGCCATCCATAACAGACATAAAAGAAGTTAAATGTTAAGATTTTTCTCTTTCACCTTTAGAAAATGTGTGCAAGCATTTTTTACTCTTTTTTTCCTAATACTTTGATAATTTTAAAATTTTGTATCTGCTTGTGATATACATGTATTTTTTGGTTCTAAAATAGTGAAGTGTAAATTCACAACTGAAATTTTTTTTATTCATTTCTTCCATAATAGAGACAGAGACAAGAGAGAACTAGAGAGGCAGGTACCCCCACAGGGTTTTCATGCCATTGTCTACTCCATTGTCAGCCAATCTGGATAATGGGCATACATATGCAGTTGTGCTCAGGGAAGGCCCTTTCCCATATGGGTCCAGTTTACCTCTGCCATCACCTGGCCCCTGGAATATTTTTAAATACATAACTCAGTTAAGTGAGCATGCTTTGAAGTCTCTAAATTTGCCGATGACAAGTTATTTTGAGTAATCTGTTTTACAGACTGATGTATATGTTACAGACATAAACATAAAGCTGGATGAAAGAGTAGGAAGTTTTTAATAACAGTAAGCATAGAACCATACATTTACTGATTAAAGTACAGGTTGAACTATTTGTATAAAATTTGGGACTCACCTAGCCATGCAAACTTGAAGTTACTTTGTAGAATATTGGCTTTGTTAAAAGAAAAACTTCAGACAGTTTAATTTAGTGGAGCAGAAATTGAGCAAAAAAAACTCAAATTTCCCATCAGGGACCCCAGAATGACTTCCAAGGGACTCCAGGTAGCTTCATGGTTGAACATATTTATGATTTGGAAAGGGAAAATGACACATGCAGGAATGGGCACGTGACGAACAAAAACAGAAGTGAGGGGTGAGGTAGAGAAATAATTGAAATAATTACATCTAGAAGTTTATCTTCAGTAATGGCAGTTTAAAACACAGGCTATCTTTGATGGAAGTGTAGCTGCTATGATTGACTGTAAATTAGCAACTTACTAAGGTTTGCTTGTGGTAACTGAAACAGGCTTTCTCAGGTCAATATACAGTTTAGTATGCAAAATTTTAGAAATCAGAATGGAGTCAGAAATCAAAGGATATTATTTTCTTATATGTCAGTAAGGTGAGGTTAGGTGGAGATTTGTCTAAAAATACGAAGATCGAAGGTATATATTAATTTTGCTAGAGGGAACGTGCTCTTGCTGAGGTCAGGGGGAGAAAAAGCGAGAAAGCACCACCCTCCTTATGGAGAATGGTCAGGCTGTAGTCTCTTCTCCATTTCTCCCCTTTTTTGGGGGATTTTGGGAATATAGGCACATGTGCCCATGCCTTGAGGTTGGGACTTGAGCTGCAGTTGGCCATGTAGGGTTCAGGCAACTTAACCTCCAGGCTACTGGCTGGTCTGAGGCATATATACTTTTAATTGTGGTAAGAAAATTTAACATGAGATCTGTTTTCTTAAAAAATCGATAGCCGTATCATACAATATTGTTAGTTTTAGACACAATGTTGTGTAGCAGATCTCAAGCAGTTTTTCATTTCCAATAACCGAAACTTTATACCTATTGAACAGCAACTCTTCTTTTCTTCAACTGTTGATACCCACCATGTACTCTCTGTGTCCATGAGTATTTTTTTGCTCAAAAATTTCCTTTTTTTTTTTTTTGAAATAACTAAGGTTGGCAACATAATTCTTTTCACTGTGTTGTGGTATGCTATTCTTCAACCCATTTGCCTTATCTACATGCATTGCTGTGCCTGCTAAATGCTTTTTTCCTGAGCTCCTCCCACCTACATCCCTGAAGGAACATTTTTAAGGCTGAAACATCAAGGTAAATTAAAAAGAAATACTTGATTTTAGGGAACGAGCTATATCAGAAGGTAGCAGCAAAATGTTAACTGTTAGAAATTACTGGAATGGATTTATGAATCTTCAGTTCTACAAACAGGCATACAAATTGAAATATCACTAGATGAAGTTACATATGTGATACACAGGCTTAACTGGAAAAGGGCCCAGCTCAAGGGACAGTTATGTGTCAGATAATTGCAATAGGGTGTTAGCTAAATTATGATAAGAATTAGAAGTTTCCTAAGTGATATGGAAGAGAGATTCAATTATGTTGGTGGAAAGGTGAGGATTGGGAATACTTCTCAGAAGAGGTAAAGTAAAACATTTGCTGGTTTTTGAGAGTGACTAGAATTTAAGCTGGCAGAGAAAGACAACAAATATGGAACAAACAGGGCACAAAGAAAAAAGAAAATTTTTAACAGTTGCTAGAAAATATACCAGCCTTGTAAATACTTGCTGAGAAAAACAAACATGTCTTCTCATATACAGTGTACCTGAGGATATGTTAAAACCAAAATATACTGGGTATATTTGGCTCTTTAGAGTATCTATATTTTTCTATTCTTCAGGTTACTATTATGAAATTCAGGGCAATTGGTACAACTTCATAACTAAAACTTTTATGAACTTAAAGTATAAACGTTTTATGAGCAGTTTATCTTATTTGAAAATTCACTAAAAAAATTTTAGTAAGATTTTTGCCTTAGGGCATGTGAGCTTGCTGGAGATAGAGACAATGCAAGGGAAAGTGAGAAATCGCTCCCAAGGGGGTTGGCCACACTACATCCGGTTTCTATTCTCCTCCTAGGATTTTAAGAGCGCGCACACGTGCTCACACACACACACACACACACACACACACATACACACACACGTGTCTAGTGTGATTTTCAAGCTGCCAGGTCTGGGACTTAAAACGTGGTTGGCCACATGGACTTCCAGTGCCTTAACTACTATGCTACTTGCTGGCCCCCAAACATTCACATTTTAAGTATAACATGGATAGACAAGAGTACACAGACATAAAGATTACATTTCAAAACATTTTGCCATGTTTCTACTGTTATCTTTTACTAGGTTGGAAAGGCCCCTTCTCATTCACATAAATTGTGGATTAGGAAGGAACTATTGTACCATCTTGTTCATGAGTTGGATTCATGTCTGAAAATGACTGTTTTCAAAATTAAAAGATTAGAAATAGAAAGCATGTTGGCTTTGGCAGCAGTCTTGGGTCTACCCACACAGAGGAGTTTTCATGTACTGGAGGTTGTGTTTGGTTCTTGTCACTATTAGAGGCTGTTGTCATTATTGCTAGCTTATACAGGCAGGCACCTCAGATAACAAATGACTTATAAGGTGTAGAACAGAATTAACTTGCATGCTATGTGCATAGACTGCTCCTCCAGATATTACTGTGTGGGAAACATTTGTTAATAATCATATGTGTATATGATTTGTCTTCCATACTTGTATTATAGTTGTGAGCTTCCTAGTGCCCAAGAAAGTCATTCTCTAAGCTCAGAATCAGAGTGGGAAGGTACTGCCAAGACACAGAGCAAAGGGCATGAATGTAGAGAAGCCATTAATTGAGACCATGGTGTAGTGGCTTATCATATATATATATATATATATATATACACACACACACACACACACACACACACATATACATGGAAGAGTGTACATTTCATTCAGAACTCCATCTTGATTGCTCACTGTTTAGAAAATCAACAAAACCAGTGCCAATAGGAATGATAATGGGTGGTCAGTAAAATACATCTGTATTGGTCTGTTTGTGTAGCTATAGTCAGCACATAATGTGATTACTATTTATAAATATCATAATGGTCATACTTTTCAGTATTACTTTAGTGTTTTCAGTCTTCCTCAGTATGGTGGAGCAGATTTGTACATTATTAAGTTACAGAATTTAGTTATACCAGATGTTAGTAAGATACTTTTCAGTGAAGCACTTTGTATTGATTTGCTGGAATAATTTTTTTAAAAGTTTGTTATAGGGTGTGTATACTGAGCAGAGAAGAGAGAAAATGTGAGAAAGCATCCTGTGGGAGGATGGCCATGCCATAATCCCTTCTCCTCTCAGGGTTTTGGATGCATGCACACACGCACCCAGCATAT